GGGCAGGGTCCTTGGTGCGGCGGGCCTTAGGGACCTTGACCACCTTGGTCCATGCCCCTGACTGGACGGAGTGGGAGGTCCCGGAGTCCTCCTTTGTCCTGGAGGGAGACTGTGGTCTACCCTCCGGCTCCTGGGGAAGAAGGGCCTGGCAGTAGGAGTCAATCTGCTGCTCACAGTCCCTGATGGCACGCAGTCTCTGGACTGTGGCCTGGAGCTCCTCCACCTGGCGCGCCAGAGGGCCCAGAAGGGAGCAGACCCCACACGGGGAGGTGGCCATGCTCCCGGCCGCCAGATCGTGGAAAAATGGACAGGCAGCCCGCGCAGCCGGGAGCCAAGGGCTCCGTCTGCGTGGAGCCCGGCACCATGGGCTCCGTCTGGGGGGCCGTCTCTGAGGTGCCGGGGGGGGCTGCGGAGCCTGAGGGGACCCTCGGGGTGCAATGCGTGCCCATCCGTGTCATGCCTCTGGTAGGCTGGCTATGGCTGGGACTGTCTACCTTGGGGGGTTTGCAGGCAGGGTCTTGGGCCCTCCTGCGTGAACTCCGTGCTAACTCACGTGCCGGCAGGCAAGTGCGCCTGTTTGTGCAGCCTGTTTGCGCGGCTCTGGTCGCGTGACTCCCTGGGGGGCTGGGTGAAGTAGAGCCCTGGGTGGGGCTTGACCCGGCCCGGCTCCATTCAGCTGCCTCTTCCCACTCAGTGAGGGGTTAACCCTCTCCCACCACGGGCCCCGCTTGCCTCCGGCTGTGCTGGGGGTCGGTGGGGGGCTCCACGGCTGCTGGGGGGTCTCTGGGGGACTTTGGGGGAGTGGGGGTGTGTCAGGCTTTCACCCGCACATCTCTCGCCGCTCCGGACCCTAACTGATACCAGAGGCAGAGTGGGCAAGTTCTTCTAAAGAAGCTGACAACCAGCCAATCTATGGCTGTTTGTTTGCTGTCATTTGATGGAGTTGTGTTTTGAGCAGTGGTTGTGTCAGATGAGCAAGACTGTGTGACAGTAGCTTGATGGCCCTGCTTCATCTAGCAGGGGTTCTGTGCTTTGAAAGAAAAAAAGACTACTTCTGCTGGAAATCTGCTTTGGTTGTATGGGGGTGGAGAAGGGTGCAGGAGTAACTTGGAGAGAACAGGATGGCTCCTGTCTGTTCTCCATAGTCAGAGAGGACTGGAGAAAAGAAAGGGCTTTCTTTCTCAAAAGATGGAAATAACAGCATAGATTTAGAGTACGAGATGGGAGTTGAATCTCTAAGAGGATGCCACTTGAAGAAACAGTCAGCAAGACCCAGAGTTCTGTGGGGAAAAATACAGTAGTACGCAGTAGTGGAGTAAAGAAACTGCATTGGGGAAAATGCTTGTTTTGCTTTAAGTTGACTTTTGAATTGTGATGTTGTTAACCAGATTCCAGGAAGGGATGTTTGAGACTCAGAGTCTGGGTTCAGTAATTGAATAAGAAGGGGAAACAGGGCAGGAGCAGGGTCTGAAACCAGATTGGGTAAAACCCTACTACAAGGATTGTGGCAATACAGTCCAAATATAGGAAAAAGACAGGATACCTGGAGTCTTTAAATCATGCAGGAAGAATGGATTCATCGTAGAAAAGGTACAACACCATTATATGTAATATTCTATAATAAACTGTGTGAAATATTCTTTGATGTCTGAAAACTTTGATACTCATTTTAACTCTAGATGCATTGAGTATATTTCTGTTTTTGTATTTTAACAGAGTTTAAAAGCAGATCCAGAAGAGCTGTTTACAAAGCTGGAGAGAATTGGCAAGGGCTCTTTTGGTGAGGTTTTTAAAGGAATTGACAATCGGACTCAGAAAGTGGTTGCTATAAAAATAATTGATCTGGAAGAAGCAGAAGATGAAATAGAAGATATCCAGCAAGAAATTACAGTACTGAGTCAGTGTGACAGTCCATATGTAACAAAATATTATGGATCCTATTTAAAGGTAAGAAAATTATTCCTCTCTCTCTCTCTCTTTCTCTCATATATATAGTGAAAGATTTCATTCAGCCACGAAATTGTGGATGTTTGTAAGGACCAGAATAGAATAACAGAATTCTAATTTAAAGGGGAAGTGTTTTGATTCTTTTGATTTTTAAAGACCAAATGAACCACTGTATTTTGTGGAGATCTTGTGACAAGACTTTGGTTAAGAAGAAAGCAGTATATGTGTCTGTTTTGTCCCTTTACTTTAAAGGTAGAAGATAATTATTTTGTCTAATATTAATATGTCAGCAGTGTTATATTATGGTCTTAACAAAAAGTAACATGTTTATATCAAGTAAATATTATACAAGTCATAATCTTAGACTTTAAGATTAGAACACATTGAAAATATAATTTAAAAAATAACACCATTAAGCTCCATTAACGGCTAGTACACTAAGTTTAAGTAGTTTTGTTGGGCTTTAACTTGAAACAGTGTATTTTTAAGAACTAAGATGTGTTTACTTTTGGTTCCACTCTTGACCTGAGTATCTTGTCATGGTTCCCAATTTAGATACCTTTATATGTAGGATAATAGATTCCATTCAGGTTTTGATTAGGGTACAACCTGAAAGTACAAGTTTTATTGATTGGATCAACTTTTAGGTTGAATTTCTTTTCCTTGAATCAGCACTGAGCTGATTTTATATTAGATGAGTTCTATGCTGCTAGATTCTTAAAAGAAGTAATACATATTATGACTGGCATTCTTCATTCCTTATAAAAGGTAGCTTGCTGAGGTGGAGACTTTAGCACTCTTTTGTCTGACCGTTACGTCTGCATAGTTCACTCTTCTTGTCACTGAAACTGCTTAAAGGAGGGCAGAGCTTTCATTAATGCCTTGAAAGATGGCTCAGAGGTTTTTAAATCGCAGAAAATACCTGAAGTACTACATTCTATCCAGTTCCTTCATCCTAGGAACTTCCTGCTTCATTTGTGAAGATATGAGTATTCTGAAATTAATTATTAACCCATCAAGATTTCTGAGATCATTTGGTTGCAGAGTAAGAATGGGTTGCTCAGTGGATCAAGAAGACGCATGGCTAACCCTGCTAAGATAGTCCACTCTCTACATCCTGCTGTCTGGACTTAGCTGCCCAGGCAGCTTGAGAATTGTGAGCTCTAGGGATATTGTGAGTAATATAAGAGCTAATGTCATGTTTTGCTGCCTTTGTGCAGACTTTCTTGAGAACGGATCTAAAGAACAGCAGGAAGGCTGTGAAGCACATGGTTGAACAAAATAAATGGTCTCATTTGTAGCTTTCTTTCTTTCTTTTTGGAATCTCTTGACCGAGGATTGTTGGTTATATGAAACATAACTTTTTAGAGAGGGCAAAAGCAAAATTTCTTCTTAGAGTTTTTTCTTCTTAAAGTCTGACCTATCTTTTCATAAAAATCAGTCTTGTATTCCAAGGGAAATGTTTCACATGAATTCTTAAGTTCATTTCTTCCATTCCCCACCTAGGCATTTCTCCTAGAGGCCTAGTAGTGAATGTGCTTCTCAGAAGAGAAGACTGATAGCAGTAAACTAATTTTGTTTGATAGCAATGAATACACATGATTGAGTCCAGTAATTTCAAAACCACACGGTTCCTTCCTAAGAAGAGGACAGACCTTTTGAGAATTTAGGAACTAAGGAGGCAGGGTTAAGTGGCACCATATAAACCAATTCAGAGAGCAGCCACCCTGCTCTGCCTTCTGCTTTTTAATTGAATGTATTATTTATTGTGGTAGACACAGTCTCTATCTGAAACAGATTGAAAAAGATATAAGCAAGAGTCATGGGCATCACTGGGGCATGTTTTATATTTTTGTAGTAAATACATTTTTAAACATAAATCTAACTGCTATGTCAGTACCAGGTGTGTCTGTATTCATGCAGGTCAAAGTAAGGCAGAATGGGTGGGAGAGAAAGTGACTACAGGTATAAAA